ATTGGGCTTGTTATTGAACAATACATTATTCACGGGCATCCTCGCTCTTGGAATATAAATTTGAGATGCTTGATGACTTCGTCAATTAAACTATGATTTTGACAAAGAGTAATTTCAGTCTGTGTGAAGTCATTTTGCTCAGGTAATGAGATTTGAGGAAATGAAAAAAAAAATGAAAGGCTCCGAAGAAGGGGGGGAAATGGTAGCTCAGTATCTAAGGCGGTGGGGGAGGGGGAAGGGGTACGTAATTGCTGTGGTCTCACTTGGGTCCACAGTGGCGGATTTAGAGGGAGGTCATTTCGGACAACCCAATGCCCCCCTCTTGAAATTGGGATTTTGACTAGCTGAATCATAGTTCTAAACCACCAAATGGCACCGTTCGCCCTCTAAAATACCAAAAATATGTCGGCCCTTTAGCGGGCCCCGAACCCACGCCAAGGTGGGGTGGGGGTGGGGGGCTTTGCATTGGCGGACCCCCCCCCCCTTCAAATGATCCTGGATCCTCCCCTGGATATACCAAGTGCAGTTGCGTGTACATCATTTGTTGCTATTACATAATAAGCATTCGATCTGATTTTCCTGGAAAGGGGCATCATTTATTCAACACAATAAAGTGGATATTTTCAGACATTGAAACCAACTAGTCTGCCACCTGTTACTTGGACATAATTTTGTCCATTCCTGTAAGTTCTTCACGTTACAAGGATAAAAAAGATTTTATGACATCTTCAAAGTATAAATTCTAGCACAGTGTATGAATTATTCGTTTTTATACATTATCTCCACGTGCTTGTTTTACGACTTCCCCCATAGGCATCGACTTTTTTTTCTTTTTTATTTTTATGATTGTGAATCTATGACGAACTACATAAGTAGCGATAATAAAATGAAGCAATTTTGAAATAAAGACCAGTTTACGGATAGTCAAAGGATTAACAAAAGTGATTAAAACATCGTGATTTATGAGGTGTTTATTGTAGATTTATATCAGATAGCCCGTGTGTCATAAAAAAACATGAACATCACCATTATTGATGGAGAGAGAAAGAGAGAGAGAGAGAGAGAGCAAAATAATTCGACCACACGAAACTGTTTTGTAATGATTTGATTTATTTCGAGTACGATTGCGGTAGCGGAGCCAAGCGTCATGCATGAGCGCAATCCTGTCACACCCGCAGCACCAGTTAACATTATAAAGCTTACATAAATAACAGTGTTTGAAATATGTACAAAATGTCTTTCTGTTAATCAGTATTTTTCTAAAATAACATCAATTTCATCAGATCTCGAATTGCCCTTTTCTGTGTTCGCCTTAGCGAGGAGGGAGCTAGAATGAAGAGCACTTTCCATGTCTGTCAAAAAACTCTGAAAGGCTTGCTGTATCTTTGCCGCGACGATAACGACCTTTTTGTGGCTATCAAATTTTATTGCGTGACACTGTAGTCTGAATCCATGTTTTGTTTCTTGGTTGTAAATCCATGAAAGAACATTTGGTCGACAGACGTGGTCGGTACAGCAGTACGCAATTCTCGCGAGATCGAACGAGAGAGTATCAAGTACAGCAGACGACGGATCCACCCTATACATAACCATCCGGCTTTGCTTAACATCCACGAATATTTTCATTATTTTGTCCTGCAGAGCACTGGTATTGCAACCACTTTCTGTGGCACCTTTTTCTGCGTCGTAATCAAGTTGACACACCGTCGGCAACTCACACATCAACTCCACCAATGTATTACTACATTCCGGACCAATGTCGATATTTTCGGAACTAACGTTCCCCAGATAAACGCCACTGAAGCCGCACTCGAATTTCTTGCTATTTTCCGGCGATTTGTTCTCCGATTTTTTCGTCCCGGACAGTCCAGCCAGTATCTGTTGCTGGACAAGTGATCGCTTCTGGAGAAGGTCCGCAGGTGCAGAGGCGGACTTCCGGATGCTGCCGTGAGGCATTCTGGTACCACCTGAAAGAAGTAAAATTGGACACAGAAGAGCTTTATTATAACACAAGGAAAGAAAGACTGTTCTTGGACCAGAATGGGTCGAATGGTCTATAAAAGTACATGTATCATCCTTTATGCAGAACTGACATGGCACAAATGCAAATCTTGGGCACCATTCCAAACCAATTTCTTATAACTTATTCATATATGCGATTTTGATACAGAAATACATAAAGTTTTATGAATAACGTCGTTAAAAAAGAAATAAAAACAAGATTTAAAAGCTCATTGGGTAAGGTTAACATCTTTTGTTGTTTCACAGCCCTGATTTCTTGAACATAGATATTTAATTAATCACCATGGAGACCTGAATTCTCTTGAAAGAGTTCAAAGCTACATAATATGTACCTCATAATATGGTAACCTATGATGACTAATCTTCACCTTATAGACACAACAAGTTCTTGAGAAAGGAATTTGCCTCCAGTAAAATTTATATAGCTCTTAAGCTTTTAATCGAAGAAAGACAATATGCAAAACGAATAAATTAGGTTAATTTGTTTTAAAAATGAAACACGTTTTACAAAAGAGATATTTTTAACCGAAATAATTTGAGTAAGAAGATATGATAAGTGTGTGTCTTCCTAGAAAACATATACATTGCATTTTTTAGGGTTTCTCCATAGAATATATAAAAATGCATATTGACATGAATAGTAAAGTCAGGCAAATCATTAGACCATTATCGAATTATTAAAATACTTAGCAGATGATACAAAAACAGAGATACATTAACAACATTAACGTATTCTAATTAATATCAATATTAACATACTATGTGAGCTTTCACATCGACAAGGTATTCTTTCAATAAAACATTATCAAGTTTTCTTGTTTATGACAGTTTTTTTATTTTTGCATCTCAATTTAATTGTATATCATGAAATGCAAAATATGAGTCCCCGCAAATACATTGTATGAGACTCCAACTGTCATCCTCAGACGGTCTGTCGGCAACATTGATGTCAACACTATAATACTAAGATGTGTAGGAAACAGTTTAATATAATTTTGATAACAAAATAGCACCGTACAGAACGAGATTCAATACTTAATAATGGGCAGAAATCGCTTAAATGCGTAGTGTTGGCAGACTTTCTTTTATCATGAAAATGATGAAGAACTTGAGTACATGCAGGTTCTCAGTGAGTTACATGTAATAGACGATTATATGTACTAGGTAAGCTCTATGAGCCATGCCCGTGTACTACAATCTCGTTATGAATTCAGCGTTTTTGTCAATGAACAAGCAATACGGACATCCATCATCACATTGAAAGCATACTATACCTTTTATTCACTGATATGTTTCCATAACAGCCGCAGCAAAAGTCAGATTCCCGTAGAAAATATCTCACAGCTCTCCCTCAATGTGCGTAGTGTGCTGTTGTAATTCCACGGCTAATTTCGCTTTTAATTGCTCATTCATTGCGGGGTTTATTCATTAGTCAGACTGTATATTTTACACGATAATTAAGTAGGCGATAGGGACCAGAAAGCACCCAGCATAGAGCCGATTGGTACGTTGTTTTTAACGACGTACATTTTATGCGTTGATTATGATATAGTCTTGCCCGAAGCTACTGCGTCTCCTTTCCATATTTCGTCTCATAATCCACAGAGACGCCCCTAAAGACAAATAAAGGGCTGGAACGTGGATAATTGGTAGAAAAACCATGACATCCACGGGCTGGCCCTTTATATTTTTAACCTAATCTCATAATGGGTATTGATAGAGGTTTTGTTTTTTATCTCACAGAGTTGAACCGCTCCTGGCAAAGCACAGGATTTCCTTTTTTACAGGTACTATACTGGAGCGGTCTGGTATCATGACTGAGCCAGCACCGACTGTCTAGCTGATAATCTCTGTACCTCTTTGTTTGCCAAGGTACTTTTTGCTATTTGAATGCATAATTAGCCAAGAGAGCGACTAATGTCCAGCCTTGCCATTTTATTTATTTGTTTATTCATAATACTTCGCTTTATTTGTATACAAGCTGAGTAATGTAGATACATGTACACTTTGATATTGTGTTCATTAAAACTCTCCATATGAAGTACATTGGTATGTAAGACGACAGACTAGGTGATCACGGTGCGTTTCTGTTTGTTTCCGTGTTATTTGACATAGTAGAAAATGATAGGAGAAAATTCAAAGACGAAGTGGTGGATCCAAGGGGCACATGTACAGTGGTCCACGTGTTCCACTTCTCAAGCCCCCCCCCCTCCAATGAACTCCGATGAGACTCCCTCCCCTTTATTCTCTCCCCCCCCCCAAATAATAATAATAATAATAATAATAATAATAATAATAATAATAATAATAATAATAATAATAATAATAAAATAAAGTAGCAAAACGGAGCAAAAATAATTAAATCTTTTTCTGTGCCTCATTAAATGCAAACCTCTAGTGGGTATTATTTCTAATTTGTCAAGCGAAGTGAGGCAAGGCATTCTTATTCCTGCCCCTTCGGCGCACCTCCATCCCAATAACAAAACCCTAAATCCGTCAGTGACAGTGATAAAGGGTTTCCCAGAATAACATTAAACATCCTGTAGCATATTAAGCATTTATTTTCTTCGGAAACATAAAACAATATGAGCGGAAATGAGTCAATTCCTAGGACAGCGGTACATGAAAACAACAAGAAAAATCACACAACAACAACAACAACAACAACAAGATGATAGAGGATTTACATCTTAGCACAGACAAGGCCTTTCTTCTTAAAGGTATACGGTGTAATTAAGCAATATAGTCTGTACTGCATGTTGCAAAAAGGACCTACGTATACATGTATATTATACGAAATAATAAGGTCACTCTGAAGCTTCTTTAGCAACACACATATATGTCATAAGAACAGGTGTCTTGTAAGAATCAAAAAGCTTATCAAGGCAACACCATGGTATCCAGATAAAAATAATTTCTTTGAAAAAATTTGCTGACGTGAGTTGGGTATAATGAACGTATTTTTGTTATAATACAAGTACATTAGCCGCTAAATTAAAAGTTGAAAAGAGAGGTATACTTCTTAAATAGCTTTGATGTACCTAGTATAAATATTAGAGTAAATATTTCTCGTTGCAGTAGAAATAAGACCGTGTATAAAACGTGACTAAAAAGTTGAAGATTAGATAGGCCTGACCCAGTCACCTTTTACTACTACATGTCCGACCCTAAAAATAATAAGCCGACAAATGAATTGGAAAAAATTGTCTTTCGGCATAATTTCAATGTGCTTGTCAAATAAATCTCTGAATAGATCAATCTCAGTCCTGTCCAAGCGAAGAGAATTCGGTCATCTACGACAATGTACTAGTAACCAAGGAGGTAAATGTGGAACTCCTTTGTATATTTCACACCTATGAGGAAGAAGCCACTTATATAAAGCCAAAGTTGAGGCAGTCTGGATAGAAATATTAAGAGTGGATATTGTGATATGATTCTATATGATGTTAGTACATTCTTAGGCGCTGCCAGAGTGGTTAGGGCAGTTACATGAACCGTTCAGTACAATCGGTGTCATAGACCGCGCGTCCTCGTGAAAGCAAAGATCGTCCGTGTCCTCCGTGCTCAGGTGCTTCCTTTTCTTAAACGCACATTTCTTTTGCAGAGCTCTCCCGATCCGAGTCCTGTGTCTAAACAGCACCGCTGCCACAACGACTAAAGTCACCGCAAACACACCCAGGCTGAGACCTAGAGCGATGTGATTGCTGAATAGATTAGTGCCTGTATGATTGCACGAGGTTTTGAAGTCGTCTGCGTTCAGTTCCGTGATCCTCTTGCCAGCAAGAGAATGTGGGCTTTTGCACGTGACAAGATCTCGCGAGAGCGCCTCCGCTTTTGATTGGTTGTACAGCAGGAGACGTTTCATCCACTGTAAGTCACAATTGCACCGCCATGGATTTCCTACCAGATCAACGTGAGTTAACTGTTCCCATGGAAACGATAGTTGACCAATGCTTTCCACAGCGTTTCCTCTCAAAGAAAGACTAATAAGGGACGGACACGCAAAGGCAGCACCATGTTGAACTTCCCTTAGTTTTGAGTTATGGGAAATTTTCAAATATGTTAAGGAATGTAAGTTTGTGAAAGCGCCTTTTTCAATCACAGTAAGTTGAGGCATATAGGAGAATGATATTTTCTGCAACTCCGGCAAATCAGAAAAAGCACCAACTCGTATCGTGCTGACGAGATTACTTGAGATGTCAATCTCGTGCAAGTCCGGTAAATCTCGGATAACGTCGGTGGGAACTTCCGTCAATAAATTACCATTTAAAAGCAATGTCTTCAAATTGCTCCGGCAGTTTAAGGCAATGAATGCTGCTTTTGAGACTGACATCACACGATTGTATTTAATACTAAGAGTTTGTAGTTTGGGGAACCGGTCACAAGATAAAGCCTCCTCTGGAAGCGTCTTGATTTTGTTGTCATCCAGTGTAAGTGTCACCAAGTTGGGCACCTGGCGCAGTTGAGCCGAAGGGACAGAAGTGAGTGAATTCGTCGACAGGTTAAGAGTGCGCAAGCTCCTTAAACCATCAAACGCACGTGTGTCAATACTGAAAATTCCACTTGAACTCAGGTCTAACACATTGAGACTGGTTAGGGCGGCAAAAACTCCGCCGTCCAAATGAGAAAAGGAGTTACCCGACAATAACAAAACTTGAAGAGAAGTTAATCCCACGAATGTGTTTGCTTTGAGTGACGTCATTCTGTTACTGGAAAGACTCAGCACCTTTAAACTGCGGGACGTTATGAATGAGAAGTTTGAAACCAACGATATTTGATTATCAGATAAATCCAAAACTTCCAGATTTCCGTATTCTCTTAGTTCTGCTACTATTGAAACGATGTGATTGTGGTTAAGATACATCTCCTTCACTGACGTCACATCCGGTAGATTCCAAGGGATCTGTGTGTGATCCCCGTTTCGGCAATCCACGATCTCTATGGTACATGAACATCCTCCAGGGCATGACGTATCAATGAAAGGAGCACATCCAAAAACAAGAATGACTTGGAGGAAGAGATGCCAAGTGGGACCTCCGTCTTCCATCGTCAGCGCTGTCACGTGAATATATATCAGGACATTGTCGTCTGCATCAATATTTTAATCTCGGCCCTGAAATGGAAAAATAGAGAAATTATCTTTGTTACTGTTCAATAAAATCACAGTTGCTTATGTATCTTATCAAACTTCCTCTACTTCTCCCATCAAGACTGAAGAGCAATCCATAAGCAGCTGAAAAAAAAAACTAAACTCGACTCGTTTTCTTTTTGACAAAAAACAACAATTGCGTCTGCTCCGGGGTTCCATTGTACAATTTGAAAGAAACTTTTAAAAATCGATAGAAAAAAAGACATTAAATATTTACACACTTAAGCGTCAAGGAACTTGAAAGTTTCGAGCACAGCTCAGCTTTGTGTTTGCTGGTTATTTGTGTTTCGTCTGTTCACAGCGAAGATCACTTTAATGAAAATAGAAAAGTGAAGTAGTAAGCATCTCTCAGAGTAAGATGTTGACATAAGACCGATAAGATGACGTGTCAGTGACTGAATATAGGGAAAGGGGGGTACCAGTGTTGAAGGGAACATGCCTCCTTCATATTCTTGGAGATAACTACCCCAATAAAAAGTAGTACGAGCAACAAATGACAAGACCAAGCAATGTTTTCTATCCCTATGCACCCCCCCCCCCCACTCACCCGCCCAAGCAAACTCTTGATCCTTCCATGGTATTTCTTCTTCATCATTCCAAACAGCTTCACCCTATTCAACATGCAAATACCAACGAAAAAGTGGACCCCAAATATTCCAGATAAACCGAATGTTAATGCAAAAACATCTACTCTGTGCGCTCAGTTTTGATGTATACAGTACCCTATACCAACTATTATACAACTGAAACATTAATTTTCCATTAACTTTTCATGGACTATGGTCCGCTTACTTTAACAACAACAGCAACACTATTATCGTCTTACAATCTGACCATCTTTTCAAATTCGGGTTGAGTCAGGTTTTCCTTTTGTCGATATCTATACGTTTTGAACATCAATAGTTAATTGTTGTACTAGCGCTTGAAAAGAAACAATAACATCCCCATAACTTTGATTCTTTACAAATTTAAGAAAAAGACGAGCTGACTTGATTCTGATTCTTGTTCAGACGCACGTGGTTTGAAACGGTCTTTTAGTTTGCTCACAGCTTAATTTACCATTCTTTAATCGGTTAACTCTATCTATAATTGAATCTCGTCACACTAAGAGGAAATTAAATAGACAGGCGAAGTGGGACGAGTTGAATCAACATGATTTTATCTTCAATGCATTTATAATGCATTTGGACGCGAGTTACCCGTAAATTGGGGTGCCCGACTTATTTATGTACGATTTGATAAAATCATCCTTATGAGGTCTTGATCGGATAGATTATTTGGTCGTGCACAACAATTTGAGGAAATATTGCAATGGATCGGGGGGGGGGGGACTGTAACAGGTAGGCTACGTCCTTCCTAAAAATAACTACAAAGGGACCCCCTCTACACCCCCTCCCTTTAAAATTGTACAACTAGTGAAATGACACAAACTAACCATCTTTTTCATACCCGTGCCCTACACATAACAGTACCCTCCCCCCAAAAACACACACACACACACACACACACACACACACACACACACACTTTGTAATCTCCTGGACCTGCTGGCGGATGCTTAAGGCTAAAATAGTACTAGTCATATTAAAGCTATAATATGCAAAAAAGTAATACTAAAAATAAAAAATGATTACAAAATACCTACGACTGATCCTAGATCTGTTGTTTATTGATTTTTTTATTTTATTTCAATTTTTTATCAAAGACAGGATTTTTAGAACTGACGGCACTGCTGTTCATAGTTCTTTAAATTAATACATCTGGAAATTTGACTTAACATAAGAAATTCATTTGGGAAAGAAAAATTACTTTAAATGCTCTCTACTACAGTGAATTGTGAGAACAACAAAGTCATCAGTTGAATAATATACCCCTGTACTTCCCCGAAGTTAATGAACGCATACATATATCAGTATCAAAGCCGTATATATAGAACTCCTTACTTCTGGCACTGTGAAGATGAACGTTTATGTTTGTGACATTGCAACGTACTATGGCACACATCAAAGCGTACTGTCTTTTCATCTCCATCGTACATTGCGAGGTTTCTGTATAATAATTTATGATCTAAATTCTTTATGACTTTTCCAGTGATGAAATGTCGTGATAGGTCTCAATTACGCCTCCAGATAATTGTCGTACTCTTATAGTGACATGGGCACACTTGAAATATCACATACCAAATACTACTAATGTACACCAGATTCTACATGAAATATTATCAAACTAGAGAGGGCGCATACTCCCACAAAAGAAAAAAGACATAAACAATCTTTTAGAAATATCAGAATGCCCGATTCAGTTGAAATTGCAATTCATATTTCTCTCTTGAATACCTGTTTGTCTCACGAATCTTTCAAAATTCCATCAGAACTTTTTGAAAGATGTCATCCATTCACATGCTGGTGGAGAGAAACCAATGCCGATGAAGAACTCATAACCTTCGTGCTCACATGGTATAACAATAACCTCAAAAACAGTCTGGTAACAAAGGACGTCTGCACATAAGTTTTAAATGAAACAAATCGAGAAAATAAGTACATATCATATAAACGCATCTGTCTATCTGCCAAGCTAGCATTTATTTCCAAGTTTGTCATGCAAACTGACCATCACCTGCTAAAAAGCAATTTGTCCACTCGGAACACCTGCGTATATCACAGGTGATTGTCCACTTTAAGTTATGACCTGTCCACTTAGATATTATTTCTAAATTTAACATGCAGTCGACGCAAATGGACTAACCCACAATATATATCATTATGAAGAATCGGTAGTCATTTTCAACGGAGACAGCCTGAAAGATGGCGGTGACCTATGATTCTATTTTGAAAGACATTTGAAAATGAATGCTGCTGTTCTACAGTATTTGAACACTGCACGGTATATTCGTGTCGTCCAGTCTTAACTTTCCTGCTTTACTGTTGAAAACTAAAGGGAGTTTAATGGGAGTAATCAGAGGCAAGGACATATTTAGAACTGCATTTCATCTCTAGTTGTAGTTGCTTTACATGCTAAGAAAACACATCCACATAGATTCGTGCCGCTTTAACTTCTGTGACCCCCTCCCCCAATGAGAGAGAGAGAGAGAGAGAGAGAGAGATGGGCCCAGGGGAGACTGCTATTGGCGCCAGGAACTCCACACGACTTCAAATACCTTGCACATAGATTTTTTTTCGTGTGGCGACCAACTTATATTCCCGATGACTTGACAGTCTAATATGAGCGTGCCGTACCCTCGACCCATCAGATTTCAGTCGAGTCATCCGACGTACGTATGTCCCCTTATCCATAACACTCACAATTTAAGTACTCCTGGATATTTCAATATCTTCCTTGCTAACCAATGCATACCCTACCCAAAACTGTTCTCTAAATTACGATCCATAAACTTTTAATGAGTTTTAATTCTCTAGATCAGTCGCTCTCTTACTGAAGGAATATATGGCACCCGAAGAGATTTGTGGATTTCCCCTGACTCTAAAAAGCTCGATATCTTGGCCTCAAAATCGACTTTCTACACTTATGCCCTACTTTTCTCATCATACTTGGGGAAAAAGGGGTTACTGAAGAAATTTAACGTTTTCTGTATAAATGCCTGTTTCACTTTTTTTAACAAATCTGTTAACAAACTTGTGTCACATAATGCTGGACACTTACTGTACAACGGTAACGACTTCGTATATCAAAACACAGCTTTGGTTTCCACTGCAGCCTCGTTACAATGCTATTTTAATTTAAAATTGATAACAGGGAGCTCCAGATCAAACATCTCGTACACAATACATGTCGTTAGGATAAGATTTCAGCTTGTGCTCATGAATTAGTTAAAAGTTGCTCTTACAACATAGCAGACTTCAGGTAAATACGCTGTATGTGTTACCTGGTAGGCAACTTCCTTCCCTTGACAAGACGGACTGCAATTTTATTTTTAATTTTAAAAGCACCGATACGCACTGGATTCAAGTTGTCAATCTAGAAGTTCATGTAGGATCAGACGCATTGTGTCCCTTTCTAAGCCGCAGCCTCAACCCGCACCCACCTCTTTCCTTCCTCTCTCCCTGTCTCTCTCTCTCTCTCTCTCTCTCACACACACACACACACACACACACACACACACACACACACCGCTACAAAGAAAAGCCTCAATACCGTACGAGCACCCAATATAAAAAGCCAGTATCTTTCTTCTACTAGTAACGCTTCTTATCTACAGGACTCCTCAATTTTAGTACTACAGGACAGTTCAGCCGCATGTGCATAGAAGGGGTTTCTCTAAAAGGGTTCTATAGCGACTCATCGACATATACTGTACGTGTATCAGTTTAAGTTTAAGTTAAACCAGTACCTTGTGAAATAACCTAAATGGTCAGCTAGTAAACCTCCATATTGTAAAATCGGTCCTTACCGTAAGGCCTTTGAATTCGTCTGTGCGTAGGTATACAAATTCGTATCAAATGCCTTAGTCGTTTTTGCACTCTTACTATATGTGCATAACAGAAAGCCAAAGCGACATCTACGGTATATGCTCGTCATATGTCACTGCCAAAACAAAGAAACAACTGTCACTCCTTTACATTTCAAATCACAAAAGACTAAAATCTCTACTGGTGTGTGCGTACCTCCAAAATAACGTCAGGTATACCGCCCTTGAGACCTGATGCAGCGGGTCGTCCTCATTGTATCGAGCTGACCAAAGGACACTTCAGCTAAATGACCTGCGCTGTAATACACTCAAGATAAGAGGGAGGGTCCGTCGTAGTGGACCCGGTCTTTGCTGTGGTCAGTGTCATGATAAGGGTCTTTAACTGTGTCATTAGAGTTTGGTAAAAGCCTTGATTTTGTAGTGGCTCATGACGGTGGACGCCAGTGTGGTTAGAGGATAAGTGGTTTTGCTCATCATAATATGCGGTTCTATACCAACAATGTATGGCTATCGTACTTCTGCTATCCTAAGCTATATCTAGACACTTTGCGTTGGCTTCTGTACATATAAACTCAATATCAGCTGATTCGGTAGATCGTCTGTCTTTTCTTATGTATACTATGGCCGAGGCCTCTTCTACGAAAATTCCTATTGCCTATGAGTGCTTGTATTTCTAATAGCCTACAGTAACTACTGGGAAACAAAACTGCTGATTACTCGTTTCCCTATCCCTTAATTTATTGCCAAATTTAGAGCGGGGCTTTATAATCAAATTATATAATCACAATATTTTACTCCTATAATTCTCCTTCTTCTGCCATCTTTTAAAGAGAACACATTTACGAATACAAAAGAAAATTCTCGGGCTTTTGAAAGACAGGGAAAAAAAAATCCACCCGTTTTTAGGAAAAAACATGCACGTGACAAAAAAGGGAGTTACATGTAGGTTCGCCCTTTTGAAACACGTGCCTTCTTAATCAGCAACGAAATAAAATCTTCCACTTTAAGCTATAATGGAGCAAAAGTTTGCTCTGATGACGAAAGGCAAATACTTTTACAAATCGACGATATGCTCAGTCTGTTACTCTTTTCAAGGAGTTCTGTTATAACTCCTTGCTCTTTTCAACCGTATATCTTACCTGTCTTCGAATCAGGCTATAACTGCCGCTTTCTAACCAGCTTCTCTGACATGAGGGGTTTAGAGCTATCCCGACTTTTGGTCCTAACTGTAACACTTCGTCACGTCTGCCAACATTTAACTTCCTTCCCCAAACTTCTCCGCACATAAAAGGCTAACATACACAAATACAGGGTGCAAGTTTCTATAGGCGTGTGCGTTTGCCCGTCAAACAAGGGGTAAGCATCTCCAAAGGCTTAATCGCGCGTAAGATTGGAGATTCATAAACATTAATTTTCGAATTACATTTTGCTTAGATAAGCATTGAATGTTGATAAAAGCCTGTGTAAAGAGTGCCAAATATGACCTGAATACGGGATACTCTTTGACGTATACACCTCACCGGTCCATATTCCTTACCTTGTGGCCCCGGCCATGTACATTACAGGTACACGAATGAATATACAAAGGTAGGGCTTCATCATGATGCTCCGGGCCTGTGTACTATTCTAGAAAACAATATAAACATTGTTGTCTGTTTCTCGGACTTTCTCCTCCTTATTTGGTGAACGTAAACACTACGGGGCAGCTTTATATATTTACGTGTACTCGAAGTTGGCTTAATTAAGACAGTCTATGTCTATATAAACCGGGAGAAAACTATCAAAAGTTGATGAACGGCACACAATACCAATAATGGGTCTCAAAATTGAATGTTTGAATGGCCCGATTATAATTAAATACAGGGCTTAGTGAAGGTTTTCTGTAAAATCACGCGGAGAGGTGCCCTGTACAATACGTAAACGGCTTACGACCTCTTCGGGGTACGGATTACCTTAAAACTTTTTCTTTAACAGCTGTGTCCCCTTCGTGCGAAACCGTGTCATTAAGTGAAGTTTATAACTGTGAGTTCAATTCAGTTTGATACTCTTACCGCTACAGGTATTAGAATTTGTCACTCAAATCAGCGGGAAAACGACGCGCGGACGTGTCCCGGCTTTTCAAACTCGACTTGAGTTGATAATTGCCCCGGTGAATACACGGGGTGGAAATCGCAAGTTCTCACAAATTAAAGTCACTTTTTTTGCACAGAATTATATAACTTATTGAAGAACAGAGTTTCACAACCCCTTGCTGGCTTTCTTACAGTGCTTAGGACCAGAGAGTTTATATGCACCATCACTATCTAGGGTCGGATACTGTAGAATTCTCCACTACGCATTTTTATCTTTCTCCTAAGATGCACATTATTATTTTCTAAAAATACTTGAATTTATACAGCTTATTATTCAAATAACAATATATATTAATACATACTCGTAAACTTGGCATATTTGCTCCAGTTTCTTTGTCATCGATTCCCGGATAACAGTTTCAATCCAGACATGCTCATGAATCGTAAAACCCCTCAAAAATGATTCATGAAACAAACGGGGAAAAACAGCTAATCAGATTACATAATTATAGTTTAACCATGTGAACAAGACGTGTTGACAGTGAAACGACCGAGACGCTACAGCTTAAGGTCGTACTTGCGGTTAATAATATTGTTGAAAATAGCAATTATAAAGGACTTTGCATAATTTTGTCAGTGACACGACTATCAAAAAAGTCCATCTGCTGTTTGAATTATAAACCGTTGTCAAGCGCGGCCTACAGATTCAGGTGTATTAGCTATATTGTTAGTCATCTACATTAACTTTTTAATGATATATCAAGGGTGGTTCGGGGGTGGGGGGTGGGGTGGGGTAGAGGGTCACGTGACGTGCTCCATAGCTTATATAGTACTCCTCCTCCCTCGCCCCTTCCAAAATACAATAGGAACAAGACAAAATGAAGCATTCTTTTTTTCCACTCTCTGTGTTCAATATGTAACAGGTTAGAAAAAGGGTCTCGTCTACTGTAGTTTGTGAAAAAAGCAATGCGGAAAATAAATATTCTTATCTTTCGCCTCAGAAAAATCCAGCCAGTTTCTTATTGCTAGGTTTTTATAGAAGAAAATGAGCCATTTCCAGTAGCAGTGCTAAAGGAATAATAAAGTACGCTCAGAGAGAGAGAGAGAGAGAGAGAGAGAGAGAGAGAGAAAGAGAGAGAGAGAGAGAGAGATCAAATGCTATACCATAACTATGAGACAATATTACTAAATAATAATCTTTTAATGGAATTCTATACTTCACACTCATAACCTATCAGTAGAAAACATTAAAGGGTCGCTATCTTTAGAATTTAACGATAGTTATACTGTGCTTTAGTAAGGTCAAAATAAAAAAAACATAGGCCCAAGATATAGAATAATATACATACTAATCATAATTTAAAGATATTAGCAGTGTACACTGTACAGGAAATTCTTTTAAAATGTTTTATATGTTTCGAATACCAGTGGAAGTATAAGGAATATTTGCTGTCAAGATTCCTGACTGTCACCATTTGTCCTCAACCCTTAACGACCCTCTTTTGTCACAACAGTGACAGGTTGAGGACCGCAAAGCACGACATTTCTTTCATTCAATATAGCGGAGTAGTGCACGGTGACTCAGATGTCCTTGAGCAACGGTGAGATCGCATGGCGGTCTGTTTGTACTAGCAATGGTATAGAGGAAATGGGATTTTTTTTGAAAAAAAGTAAAAATAAATTAGGAGACAAAATAGACGCGGGCGCGAGCGCGCGCGCGCACGCGCGCGTGTGTGAGTGTGAGAGAGAGAGAGAGAGAGGGAAAGATTATCAAATGTGTTGAGGGGGTGGTGGTAAGTCATCATAATGCGATCTTCATAGGTCTTTCATCATTACTTCTTTAAGGTAACATTCTCCTCCTTACTGCTATAAATTATCTGCCCCTGATGGACACTTACGACTAGTTCAGGACATGTAACTGTCAATGGGTCCGGATACCGCACAGACATTACAACGTTATTTCGGTCCTCGGTAGTTTTTCACAAGACGATGACAGTCACCGTCTAATGTCATGACCGTGTATAACAATGCAGATACGTTAAAGAGGTCAGTTTGGAGTTGTTCATGCATCACATTTTGCCTCATTCTGTTTCATTTTGTGTCCTAATGCAATATTAAGTGGATATTAAATCATATATGAAATAACAAATGGCGATTTCCTGCAATTTCAAGAAAGACATCATGTAATAATAATAAAAAAACACACAATAAAGAAATATACATTTAAACTTGCTGCATTCTTTAAAAATTGAGGGAAAAATACGTCACTGTTTTTTATACTCATTTACAGTAGAACTGCATATATTGCACTTCACTATTATAGAATATATTTCATATTTTAATACGAAAAATAAATGAAACTTTGGATTTAATCCGCCGTATAAATCTCTCTCTCTCTCTCTCTCTCTCTCTCTCTCTCTCTCTCTCTCTCTCAAGATTAACAGACCTACACTCAATTACCACACAATTAATAACCAACATCAGATTTGACGTTTATACAAAGCAGTTTAACAATAACCAGCCTGATATCATCGAAAGCCTCAGTCATTACAATATACTAATTACCTACTAATTAACCAGGATTTGATAAAACACTTTGTCCGCCTCCAACCCTAAAGAACATTTCCAATATTGCACCATCTGCTTCTACTCTCACACTAGGATTCTCAGTTATGGCATTAAGATAAAATTGACAAAGTGTATTATCATAATCTGCAGGGATAATCGTCCAAGTCATTAGCGGAAGCCTCACCTGCTGATGCGTTCTCTTATAAAACTCATCAGCGTTGATATAACAGATAAGCCCTTTAAGTGTCCGTGGCCTGCTGGTAATAACGAGGGACAGATGGGTGTTCTTTGGTTGTCCTTTTACTTCTGATTTAGAAACAAAAATAAAAAAGGTGTGTGAAAAAGATAAAATATTCAGAGATAGTACTCAAAATGTTCTACATTTTCTTTATAGATTAATTGGTGGACTGTTCTCGGTTTAAACGGAAAGATTCCAATTTTTATCTATTTTGAACCTCTGTGAGCACTCTTAAAAGTCACATCTTTCTTCAACTTATGTAGGTTTAAGGGTTAACGTTTAGCTTATTATCAAATAATCACCTTAATTAAATTTGAATTAGTATGAACGTGCCAAACCCCTTACTTACCGACTTCACTGATTCTGGAATGAGTTAATTCATAATTGTATTGTTTTAGATAAAGATCCTCGCATATGCCAGTGGGCCTACACGCGCGTGTTTCATAACCGAATATGACAAATTCACTTTTGCCTTTTCTAGTAAAAATGCATGAATGCAAGTGATATAAGAAAAGCTTCATCAGTGCAAAGCTACAGAGCACCTCTTGTGTGTATTATCCTAATGTTTTTATGTCACTAACGTTAATATTATACATGCATTATATTCTGCAGCGGATTGATTTGATCTTATGACGTCACAGATATGACCCATTGACCTTTTGACCCTCACGTGACACATTGGCCCTTTACCACCCTGGGTATCATATGTTACTTAAAACTTAACTTCTGAAGGCTGGTAAGGGAATTTTCTTGCTGATAGAAGCTAGTTTTCTTAGAAGCCCTTTTATCAAGGCATGGTAAAAGTTCCGTGTTATTTAAAAATGCTGTAATGACATATATTACAAATCTTATATTTACTCGTTAGATAATTTCTAGTGAATGGAAGTTTGGTTAGCAGCATTCAGTAAATCCTATTACACGGTACCATACCGGTGGGTACAGTGACATCAACTTGATTTTAGCAAGCATTCATTAATAAAATTAAAAAAAAAGTCCACTGGTCATTTTTAGAGACAGTTATTTTGACAGTTTATGGAAAACATTCATTTTCAACACAACCCCCCTCCATCGAAATGATAACACATATCACTTCATAGTTTACCTTCAAAATGCACAAAATTACAATATTATGTCGCAGCCTTCAACGACGTTGAACTTGCAAACAGCTACATGATTCAAGATAAATCAATCTTACAGTGACTGACATCTAATAATTTCACTCAACTACCAGTAATACTTGCAGGAAAAAGTTTCGTGAGCTGTGCTCTGTACTCAAAGCATTAAGAACAATTTCTATAAACACCTTCAACGGTGAAATCGTCGTCTTAGTCACAGAAATAATACAGTTTGAAGAAATAATTACTGTGATATCTACCTCTTATTGTCAAACAAACCTATGTTTAAATACAACAATCAATAAGCACTACCCTTTTCCTCGTGATGGATATGTATTGACGCATTTCTTCCGTGTATTAAAAAACGAGCAAGTTTAAGTCATAACCGCCGCAAACGTGTGTGAAAAGAACCTGAATG